AAAAAAGACGATTTTGAAGCACTTTTGAAAAGGATTTTTAGAAGGAAAATCACTAGCGCCAAAGTGGAGAAAATCTGCTGACAAATCACTGTGGCAGCCTTCATGCAGCCACTCCAATACGATTTACGAAGTCCAGCTGCAAAAGACAATAGTATTACCAATGCAGCCACAGCACGAAGCAACCTTGACGCAGCCATTACAATGCGATCTGCAGAGACTGAGTTGCAAAACACAATAGAACTACGCGCAACGGCGTCGGAAATTGTAGCTCCAAAACCGGATCTCGACGCCAGAGCGAAAAAAAGACGATTTTGAAGCACTTTTTAAAAGGATTTTTAGAAGGAAAATCACTAGCGCCAAAATGGAGAAAATCTGCTGACAAATCACGCAAAAGACAATAGTATTACCAATGCAGCCACAGCACGAAGCAACCTTGACGCAGCCATTACAATGCGATCTGCAGACACTGAGTTGCAAAACACAATAGACGCAACGGCGTCGGAAATTGTAGCTCCAAAACGGATCTCGACGCCAGAGCGAAAAAAAGACGATTTTGAAGCACTTTTTAAAATGATTTTTAGAAGGAAAATCACTAGCGCCGAAATGGAAAAAATCTGCTAACAAATCACTGTCGCAGCCTTCATGCAGACTCCAAGACGATTTACGAGATCCAGCTGCAAAAGACAATAGTATTACCTATGCAGCCACAGTACGAAGCAACCTTGACGCATCGGCCTATTACAAACTAATGCGACTCCTGCAGAAGTACTGAGTTGGCAAAACTCAGACGCAATAGAACTCTACGACGCGGGGCAACGGCGTCAGAAATTGTAGCTCCAAAACCGGATCTCGACGCCAGAGCGAAAACAAGACGATTTTGAAGCACTTTTTAAAAGGATTTTTAGAAGGAAAATCACTGGCGCCAAAATGGAGAAAATCTGCTAACAAATCACTGTCGCAGCCTTCATGCAGCCACTCCAATACGATTTACGAGATCCAGCTGCAAAAGACAATAGTATTACCAATGCAGCCACAGCACGAAGCAACCTTGACGCAGCCATTTACACTCCGGGAACGATCCTACAGTTGCAAAGCACAATGGAATTCCATCGGCAACTCATCCACCAGCAACACTTGCAATCCCATTTACATTGCGGGAACGATCCTAGAGTTGTAAATCACAATGGAATTCCATCGGCAACTCATCCACCAGCACCACTTGCAATCCCATTTACATTGCGGGAACGATCCTACAGTTGCAAATCACAATGGAATTCTGTCGACCGCACATGCACGAAAAACAGTTGAAACCTCATTTACAATGCGGAACCGATCCGAGCATGATCCGCCCATGATCCGACCACACACGAGACCGTCTCGCAACCGTCGCACCGCAGAGGTAGATCATCGAGGTTCGGGGACGGACTTTGTATGGAAAAACATAGGGCTTCGTGTATCTGCTATCTCTCAAAAACGCATTTCATGCGAGACTTCCTTCAAAACTCCATCGGCAACTCATCCACCAGCAACATTTGCAATCCCATTTACATTGCGGGAATGATCCTAGAGTTGCAAATCACAATGGAATTCCATCGGCAACTCATCCACCAGCACCACTGGCAATCCCATTTACATTTCGGGAACGATCCTACAGTTGCAAATCACAATGGAATTCTGTCGACCGCACATGCACGAAACACAGTTGAAACCCCATTTACAATGCGGAACCGATCCGAGCATGATCCGCTCATGATCCGACCACACACGAGACCGTCTCGCAACCGTCGCACCGCAGAGGTAGATCATCGAGGTTCGGGGACGGACTTTGTATGGAAAAACATAGGGTTTCGTGCATCTGCTATCTCTCAAAAACGCATTTCGTGCGAGACTTCCTTCAAAACTCCATCGGCAACTCCTCCACCAGCACCACTTGCAATCCCATTTACATTGCGGGAACGATCCTAGAGTTGCAAATCACAATGGAATTCCATCGGCAACTCATCCACCAGACAGTTGCAAATCACAATGGAATTCTGTCGACCGCACATGCACGAAACACAGTTGAAACCCCATTTACAATGCGGAACCGATCCGAGCATGATCCGCCCATGATCCGACCACACACGAGACCGTCTCGCAACCGTCGCACCGCAGAGGTAGATCATCGAGGTTCGGGGACGGACTTTGTATGGAAAAAACATAGGGTTTCGTGCATCTGCTATCTCTCAAAAACGCATTTCGTGCGAGACTTCCTTCAAAACTCCATCGGCAACTCCTCCACCAGCACCACTTGCAATGCCATTCTAACTCTTTCTTTGACTAACTCTTTCCCTGACATTCTAAAAGTTACAATTAACTCTGTCCCTAACTAACTCTTTCCCTCACTAACTCTTCCTTTGACTAACTCTTTCCTGACAGTCTAACTCTTTCTTTGACTAAATCTTTCCCTGATGAACTCTTTCCCTAACTAACTCTTTCCCTCACTAACTCTTTCTTTGACTAAATCTTTCCCTGATGAACTCTTTCCCTAACTAACTCTTTCCCTCACTAACTCTTTCTTTGACTAACTCTTTCCCTGATGAACTCTTTCCCTAACTAACCTTTCCCTGACTAACTCTTTCTTTGACTAACTCTTTCCCTGATGAACTCTTTCCCTAACTAACCTTTCCCTGACTAACTCTTTCTTTGACTAACTCTTTCCCTGACATTCTAAAAGTCCGTAACACGGAAGTTTCTCCCCCTAAACTTCCTTTGAACATGCATTAACACGCAGCATCAAGGAATGTAGCACACCTAGCACACCATGTTGGACTGCAAAGCATACATGTTGCATCCCGTCGTACATGTTGCATCACGTCGCATCAGGGCCGCCTTTATAGGGCTGTAGGTTGGCGACCTACGGGTCATATGGTGGTTGGTGGGCTGCCTTTGGGGCTGTAGGTTGGCGACCTACAGGTCTTATGGTGGTTGCTGGGCCGCCGTTAGGGCTGTTATGGTGGTTGTTGGGCCGCCTTTAGGGCTGTAGGTTGGCGACCTACGGGTCATATGGTGGTTGCTGGGCTGGCTTTAGGGCTGTAGGTTGGCGACCTACGGGTCTTATGGTGGTTGCTGGGCCGCCTTTAGGGCTGTTATGGTGGTTGGTGGGCCGCCTTTAGGGCTGTAGGTTGGCGACCTACGGGTCATATGGTGGTTGCTGGGCCGGCTTTAGGGCTGTAGGTTGGCGACCTACGGGTCATATGGTGGTTGTTCGGCCGGCTTTAGGGCTGTAATGGTAGTTGCTGGGCCGGCTCTGGGCTGTAGGTTGGCGACCTACTTGTCTTATGGTGGTTGCTGGGCTGCCTTTACGGCTGTAGGTTGGCGACCTGGGGTTCTTATGCTGGTTGCTGGGCCGCCTTTAAGGCTGTTATTGTGGTTGTTGGGCCATCTGTAGGGTCGTAGGTTGGCGACCTTTACGGGTCTTATGGTGGTTAATGGGCCGGCTTTAGGGCTGTGGGTTGGCGACCTATGGGTCTTACGGTGCTTGCTGGGCCGCATTTAAGGCTGTAGGTTGGCGACCTACGGGTCATATGGTGGTTTGTGGGCTGCCTTTGGGGCTGTAGGCTGGCGACCTATGGTGGTTGCTGGGCTGCCTTTAGGGCTTTTATGGTGATTGTTGGACCACCTTTAGGGCTGTAGGTTGGCGACCTACGGGTCTTATGGTGGTTGCTGGGCCGACTTTAGGGCTGCAGGTTGGGGACCTACGGGTCTTATGGTGGTTGCTGGGCCGCCTTTAGGGCTGTTATGGTGGTTGTTAAGCTTTGCTTTAGGGCTGTAGGTTGGCGACCTACGGGTCATATGGTGGTTGCTGGGCCGGCTTTAGGGCTGTAGGTTGGCGACCTACGGGTTATATGGTGGTTGTTCGGCCGGCTTTAGGGCGACCTACGGGTCTTATGGTGGTTGCTGGGCCGCCTTTAGGACTGTTATGGTGGTTGTTGGACCGCCTTTAGGGTCGTAGATTGGCGACCTACGCGTGATATGGTGGTTGCTGGGCCGGCTTTGGGGCTGTAGGTTGGCAACCCACGGGTCTCATGGTGGTCCCTTGGCCGGCTTTGGTGCTTTAGGTTGGCGACCTACGGGTCTTGTGGTGGTTGCTGGGCCAGCTTTAGCTGTAGGTTGGCAACCTACGGGTCTGATGGTGGTTGCTGGGCCGGGTTTAAAGCTGTAGGTTGGCGACCTACGGGTCTTATGGTGGTTGGTGGGCCGGCTTTGGGGCTGTAGGTTGGCAACCTACAGTCTTATGGTCGTTGGTGGGCCGGGTTTGGGGCTGTAGGTTGGCAGCCTACGGGTCTTATGGTGGTTGGTGGGCCGGCTTTGGGGCTGTAGGTTGCCACGTTTGAAACTGTAGGTTGGCAGCCTACGGGTCTTATGGTGGTTGGTGGGCCGGCTTTGGGGCTGTAGGTTGGCAACCTACGGGTCTCATGGTGGTTCCTGGGCCGGGTTTGGGGCTGTGGGTTGGCAACCTACGGGTCTCATGGTGGTTGGTGGGGCCGGGTTTGAGGCTGTAGGTTGGCAACCTACAGGTCTTATGGTGGTTGGTGGGCCGGGCTTGGGGCTGTAGGTTGGCAACCTGCGGGTCTCATGGTGGTTTCTAGGCCGGCTTTGGGGCTGTAGGTTGGCAACCTACAGGTCTTATCAAGGAACACGTCAGGTACCCCTCAACCCTGTACCCCCTGTATGGGGGCAACCATAAGCCTAGGTATAGACCAGGTGTATACCTTACTTCTATGGGAGCAGTATGGGATGCTTATGGGTGTGTTATGGGAAAACAGCTGGCTTGTGGCATGGGTGTGTTATGGGAAAACAGCTGGCTTGTGGCATGTCCAACCACTAGTTCACAAAATAGCACCATATATAATAAGTAAGTTGAACAAAGGCAAACACAAGCTGTTGCCACTCACCATACACATACAATCTCACCGATTCTTCACCCCTTCCCTGAACCATCAGGGCTTGTGCTTTTGGTCCTTTGCGCTGTGTCTGAATCTTCTCTGGTGAAACTGGTTTGTGACACATCATTTTCTTTTTTTTTGTCTTTTTTATCGCTACGTTTCTCCTTTTTAGCTTTCTTGTTCTTCTTTTTTTTGTCCTTGTTTTTTTGCTTCTTCGCCTTCGGCGATGAAAACAAGTTTTCCATATCAAACGAATCTGTTGACAAAGAATCCTCAGCTGCAAAAAAGGCAGCTGCATTCACAGGACGAGACGATGACGCTGCAGCATCAGCAGCGCTGGCCACACCGCCAGAAGAAGTCGCTCCCCCAGATCCCTCGACAACAGGCTCAGGTGTGTCAAACAGTTTGGTCTCATCCGTCACCCGTCGTCTCTTTCTCATAGGCTTTGCCTTTGCATCATCACCGCCGCCTCTCTGCCGTTAAAGAGACAGAGAGAAGGAAAACCCATAAAACAAACAAAACATGCTTAGCTTGCACGCGCAATCGAGTACCCGAACCCCAATTTTTCATAAACCCGACCTTGTTCTTCCGGCTTTTCTCGGAGACCTTGTTCAGGAAAACAACCCCATGTGCTTTTCCAAACACGGTTTGTTGACAACTAGGAAACAAAACCAGGAAAGCAGAACCCCCTGCGGGTGAAAAACTAAAACCTGTTTCTAAAAACTCATGAGAGCTAGCTACCAGCCCGCAAACGCTCAGCTTCTTGCATCCCTTGTGCCAGCGCTGATCGCACGGTTTCTATGCTGGGTCGTTTGCTGCAATCCTTGCAGGTGCTTTTTCTTGCACCATCTGTGTTTGTTGACACAAGATGAAGCAAACAAAAACGAAACGGGGAAATCAATCAATGTTGAAAGCTTAGACTCTTCCAGCTAGCCGAGGAACACGACCTTTCATGTGATGGTTGTGCCATAAGTACTGCACCACAAAGGACAAGCAAGCCAGCATGGTACGGTTTGGATTACCCTCTTCCCACGACATGGATGTGCTCTTCGTGGGATGCCCTGCGGGGTAGTATCCCTCGAAAGCCCTTTTGTTCCAGTCCATGACAATGCTGGCGCCTTTGTGTCCCGGTGCCAAAGCTTTGATGATCTCAGGCGTTTCGTGCTGTTTTTGAGCACGTTCGTCCACCCTGCGAGTGGTAAACTCTCTGAACTTTTGCCCCATCAACCTCTCGTCCACCTTCTCTTTGATGTCCTTGAAATTGGCTTGAACCTCTTCGAACGGCATTTGTTTGAAGCATTGGTCAGCAAGCTCGTCAGGTAGATGCTGTTTGGAGATGCCCGTGCTAATATTCAGCATGTCCAGCACCAGCTGTGACTGAACCCCAACCTCTAAGTCGGGACACTCTGCAACCACAATGCTGTAGACAAGGCTCTTCTTGGTCACGTTCTTCTCTCCGAATTTGACGATCGGCTTCCCTATGACAAGCAAAATCCGTCTCAACATTTCCTCCGTCAGAAGGTGCAGCGATTTGCATTCAATCGCGTGTTGCAACAAGCGCCCACAATCACCATCCACCTTCAGCAAAGAACCAAAATGCTTGGCACAGTGAGGAAGTTCGCTAGGAGAACCTTGGCTGAAAATGCACAGGAAACGGTGGTTGGTCTTCTATGCTTGCTAAAGTTGCTAAAGCTTCAACCATCGCCTACCATGTCAAAAGGCAGACACGCAAACAAACACAGACACCACAAACAAACAAACAAACAACCAACCAGGCAAGCAAGCAAGCAAGCAAGCAGAAAAAGGAAAGAAGGAAAAAGAAGGAAAGAAGGAACAAGAAGGAACAAGAAGGAAAAAGAAGGAAAGAAGGAAAGAAGGAAAGAAGGAAGGAAAGAAGGAGGAAAAGAAAGAAGTGAAAGAAAAATAATAAAAAAGAAAGAACAAATGGACGTAGCTTAACGTACCGTAATGTAATGCAAGGTAATGTAGTGTAACAGAACTGAACACAAATACAAGCGAAACTTGAGAAAACAAAGCGGGCAAGACTGCAAGGGCTTAGCATAAGATATGATGGACTGACAGATGAAAATGACAAGCAACCAACCAACCGAACAAACACACCCAGAAGAAAAGAAACAAATCAAAGCAAGACAAAACCGCGAAGAAAAAAACAAAACCAACCTACCAACCAACCAACAAACAAATAACCAAACTCACCAAGAAAGCCCACCAACCAACCAACCAAGAGAGGCACAAATACTAACAATACAAAGAAAAAGAAAGAAAGAAACAAAGAAACAATCAAACAACCAAACAACCGTGCAAACAACAAAACATAGAAAGAAAGAAAGAAAGAACCAACAAAGCAAGCAAACAAACAGACAACCAGCCACGCAAAAAGCAAAAAACAAACAAGGAAACGAACACTCAAACACACAAACCAACCAACGAACCAACCAACCAACAAACAAACAAAACGATTTAGGAACAGCATGCAAACACCCTCTAGTCAACTGTGAGCTACAAGCAACAGATTTTGACAGGAACGCCAGCAAACTCTTCTTTGTTGTCT